TATACATTTCGGGTCGGTCTTGGTAAAAATAGCTAAGTAAAAGTTTGATTATACAGCCCTTGCAGGTTCTCAAACATCAAATGACTTCTCCCAACCCGTGTGGGTTAAAAGTGAAGGTCATACTCTTACCTACTTCATAAAAACTACTCAGTTTCTTCTTCTAATGTGGTCTGGGGCTGCGGCACATTATTGCGTTGGACTAGCAAGTCTAGCATCCATTGCATGGATCTGGTTTGAGGTTTATTTCAACTTAGAGACAGGAAACATACAACTTTTACATATTAATTCTAAAGCTTATCATCATCATCATCATCAGCCTATAAATGCCCACTGCTGAGCAAAGCCTCTTCTCACACGGAGAAGGTAAAAAGCTTATTCTCAGCTGTTAATTACGCCACGGTGACGCCCGCCGAGGCATATGTCGAAACTTATATTAATAACTCTAAAACCTATTATATTATTAATAAAATTCCGGATATTATCAACATTCCTTTTGTTATTTAGATGAATGTTACAATAGAATATTTGTCCCTCATTTGAAACATTTTTTATCAAGCGACATACTTACTATAATGTAAATATACACACACTGTGACCGAATGTTAACTCATCGTGAATAACAAGGCCCCGGAAATTCCTTCCGACCGAGAAAAATTGTACAAGTTTTTTGTGTACAACTGACTCATGTCAGATTTAAAACTAACATTAATTATCTTCATCGAAATTATTTATAAAAGTCACTGAGTGAGAATAAAAAAAATGGTCAAGTATATGCTAGACATTATAGTCATTATAAAAAGCTGTTATGTTTTATTATTTCAAGGTTACACTTGTAAAGTACTTCTTCGTCTCGTATAGGTACAGAAAAGAAAGTTTTCGCTTGTTTTGTCTACGACTAGAAATAATTTTGTCTCAAAAAGTTGAAGCAATATGATGTAGTCGGCATTATTAAACTTAGTCTTTATTTTAATATCTTTTACCTTCCAACGAATGCAACAAAATGTTTATATCTACGACACAAATTGACCCATTTATTCCAAATCACACAAATTATAAAGTTACACCATCCTAACATAAACACTACATCAATCCCAAAGTTGGCACTCGTGCGCACACCGAGCCATTTGTCATAAATATCGTAATATTTGTAAAACGTGGAGCCGGCTTCGGACAACGACCGGCAAGGTGGCTTGAACAGATATTTTCGAAAAGTCACACAGGTTAATCTCAGGTGAAAATAACTTGTATGATGGATGTGTAAACAAATAATTTTGGTACAGTATTTTAATGCTGAGAACAGTTGACCCAAATCTTTGCTAAATGTCGCTCGTCACCGGCCGAGACATCGGTGGATCGGAGCCGCGGTTCCATATAACCAAATTTCAAAATTCTAATAAACACAAGCTTGTATTTAAAAAAAAACGTAAAGGCTTAGTGACTAGAGTTACTCTTCTATTAAATATTCTTTAAAGTTTCCAGGAATGCAAAATATTTCCCCTAAAAATTGTACTAAGTATTCAAAATTGCTTTTGCCATTTTCCTAGCCCTTCATATTTGCGCTCTACAAACGTGAATATTAAATAACACAAGCCACGTGCTGCAATGTTTATAAATGTTTACAGTTTTCATTCCATAGTTTGTCAAGGAAGATGTCGTGAATGCTATATTAAAGACAAACAATGTTTGTAGCATCCACATATGACCTTCATATTGAGATGACCTTCACAACTGATACAGAATCGATGACGTAATAAGTAACGGGTTATTTGTCCTGTGCAGTGAACTTGTATTATGTCGATTGACTTAAAATTAACATGCTGGTCGTCGACTATAAACTTGTTTGGGTGAAAAACGATCTCCTATCTAAGGCAATTTATCACCTATCAAAGTCATAAAAGTTCCAAACTTTGTTGAATCTAATTTACAACTGCTAAGTGAGCCAGAACTAGTAAATACTATAGATAACTTTTTAATAGACTAGGTGTGTGTAAGTACTGTGTAATCCCAAACGGGAGGAGAAGTGTCGCAATACTAATAAATTCACTCAGCGAATGTGAAACAAACCCGAGTGGGACACCAGTGGATATATAGACGCAACACATTATAACTGCTGTGACTAATATGTGGAAAGTATCGTTTGGTACAAGTATGTTGTAGCTTACACATTCCCTGAAGAAGCTTTTCATTATAATATCATTAATATCTGTAATAACCAATGTTCTCCATGCACTTTGTAAAGAAAATGAAAACACATTGATTGTTAAATCAAGTACTCAATCATCTCCCTTCAAAACTCTTTAAATTACTTGTTTGCTTGTCACAAAATTGTAGCGGCTGGACCGACTTAGTTTTTTGGCCTTGAAATATTCGTGAAGGTCCAGGAAAGGTGTAAACAATAAGGAGAGGAAAATAACTTGCTAAAAACGATTTTTTTACATGCAAACTGTTCTGAGAAAAGCTCTGTTGAAAGTGATATTATTGAACTATTTGATTTGGTTATACGGTATTAGCCAAGTTTTGACAAAAATCTTAAACAATTGTATTATTCAAATGTTTCCTAAATTACCGTTGATGTTTCGTAAGGTAAACTCTTTATTTTTATTTGCAAAAGTGATAGGCCAGTCCTCGCTACCAGACGTCCCGACGACCTGTTGAAGGTCACGATCGTGGCCCGCTTGATACACGCGACCTAGGACTGTTCCTTGTGGAACGCCATACCTCTCATAAACAATGGACTTGTTTTATCGATTTCTGATTCACGCGATCGTTTACTTTAAAGTTATGTGTTCTGGAGAATGCTATGTGTGTCTGGTTTAAGTTTGTATCAGTTAATAACAACATTTTATTATTTTACAGTCAGTTTAGAAGTATTTAACAACACTTTGTATTAGTGTCGAATAGAAATTTATTTGGTTTGTTTTATTGAATTAAGGAGTTCATTCGTGTCATTCATCTCCTAATGATGTGTATCATCATCACAAATCCGATTAACATGTACAAACAGGTGAACAGTTTGTTTTTATTTGACTGAAACAGTACAAATACTCAGAACTAAGTTTATCTCACTAAAATAACTGTTGAATCACACATGTACGAACAGCAGCGTGTAAATTGGTTTTCCTTGTCTATTTCCAAACAAATATTTATTAATATCGATGATTTAGATTGATTGTTTATACTTTTGACTAATTATAATGATGAAGGACAATTTAGCGTACTTGTTATATGCATAGCATATTGAAAAGAGTTTCTACGATTTAGACAGATAATAACGGCGGCAACGGTTATAAAAGTTTTAATGGCCTTGAAAAATAGGGAGATACAAACATACAGGAAAACTGATGTAACATAATGATAAACGTTTAATAAACAATTTAAAAACAGTTTCAAACTTTATTTATGGCCTCTACTAATGAACATAAACACATGAACTAGATTTCAAATTGTTACGCATTTAATAGAGCAAAAATTTTCCTGTAATTTTTCCACAACACGACAACTTTCTTAGAATTCTAACAACAGCTGCTGTTGTGTCCATTATTAAAAAAGTTTATAACACATTGAAAAATGTCCGTCAAAATTGTCAACCTACAGTTTTGTCCTAATTTTTAAAAGTATTTTAACATCTCACGAATTTACTAATAGCTATCATAAACCTGTTGTTTGTGTTTTTGTTTCAATGCTTTACGACTAGTAGTTGGATTCAGCAAAATTTGGCGATTACATTTTGTTCGGTGGAATATTCTACGAAACTTTATGAATAACAAGAGTAAAATCGGACATGTATACATAACTGATCATGAGAATTCATTACAACTAGTATTATATGATGCTACTGTTGTAAAAGTAGATGCAAGACATTCGCAAATAATTTGGAAGGATTTCGAGTGAGACTCGTAAACAGTCGGTATTTATAAATACCTATTTTGATGTTCATTATTGTTGTGCTTCTAAACTTTATCGTTTTGGCCTTCGTTGTTATATAGATTTAGCTTTTCACATTTTATCATGAATTTACGTCTGAATACATGCAGGTGATGTGACGCAATATTGGCCTTATCATCTACTTTTACGTTTATTAATCTAATCGCAGTAATTTTGCCTTTGGACCCGTAAAACTGGAGCTTGGGTTTGGATAGTAAATGTTTACCATCTAACAGTAGAAAGGTATTATTACTTTCCTACATATGTTCTAAGATAATTTCCCTGTTATTAATAATTTACCTCCAACGACTTAGCCTTTATTTTTAGATTTATTTGTAACTAGCGTTTAATAACCAACCAGAGAAATTAAGTGCTTTGTAAAATTTTATCATTTTCATTACCATCTTATTTTCAATGCCTACTATCTTTTCTAGTTCACTAATTATTAATAATTTAGTCGAGTTCTACGTGTGTAGAAACAACATTGTGTTCTTGTTGATGAATTAATTGTCCGCTATAACATGTATCATCGCAGTCAAGTAGCGAAACAGATGTCGATAGCTTCCCTTTGATTAGATGCACATTCCTCTCAATTTGTACGAGTTGGAGTTCTTTCGGTACACACTGATTAGTTCCAGATATGCTAGTTGCAATCAAATGAAGTACTGAATGTTTTATTTTATTTGTTCTTGAAAGATCTTCGATACTTTTATATTTAATAAATTTTTTGGTTCGTTAAAATTAGTGTAAGGTGATTTTTTGCAGTTTTCGCACTGTTTTGATTAAAAGACTTGAGAATTTTTTGTTTATAAATTATGAACAATTCAAACGATGAAAAAACATTCATACTAAAAAAAGAAATGTCGCAATTTAAGCGGCTATTTTATACGAAATACTTAAACACTCGGCATTAAATTTCACAAAATTCACGCTATACGCATATGTTACGCTTGTATATTAAAAAATATTATGGACAAGCTTGAAACGATCGCGAAAGATCCGAACAATTGGCTGGTTATTATTTTTTGATTTGATAGAAATAAGAACGTAACGTAGAAAAGTTTATAAACACTCACCATGTTTGCGCGAGTGGACACGGTGCGTGCGGTGAGGACGAGGTCTCGTCGTAGACTGGAGCAGAGCGAAGCCGCGTCGGCAGGAATACTGGCCTGTTATCGCGACATGACGTAATTCTTGCATTCGGAGTTCAGACTGCACGCTAGGATTTGCCCGATGTATGCCGATATTGTTGGAGAAATTGGATCATTTAGTTGTTTTATGGAACTTATTGTATGGTGTTGGTATGCTCATTATGCCCATCAGATATATTGAGGCGCAATGAATGGCTTCGTTTTTGTTTGTTTTCAAGGTTCGTCATGTTATTATATGTGTTGTATGGAAACATACGTCTTGATTGAAATCAAGTCTGTTGTTTAGACAAATTAAATAAGGGAAAGTTCTTTCGAAAAAAATCCTAGATTTTGATTTAACCTAAACACTAACAATTTCTCCTGGCAATGGGGAAAATATGCTATGGTTGTTGTTGTGCTAGCTTAGGAATCTTGGGATTCTTAAATTAATTTTAAACAAAATACCTACCTTTTCTTCTTTTGCCTAGTCTTTTTCCCGACTTAATAGGTCGTGGTTGACTCTTCTCACACAGACCGCAGTAGGTAAAACCAACCCCAACACCTTCTAAAAGTGTTGCTGTTTCTACATTTTTTATTATACAAAATATCGGTTTGTTAGGTTTTTGACTGCCACGACAATTATGGAGTCTTTTAAGGATCACCTATCCGGAATTGACTTTGAGTATCCTGGCTCATGAAATCTCGGTCTGCGCCCATCTTTTTCAATTAAAAAGTTATTGTGTTTATTTTCAGACCTCCACACTAGTCCCGGATCAGTGTGAAGTCACCAGACTGCTCAAACAATTATGTGGTGAAGATGCATCCAGGTAATGAACTAATATCATTAACAGGTTCTGAAGTTACTCTTCTTATGTAATAGTTCGGCAAACGACCAGGCGGATTACCTGATGGTAAGCAATCAGCGCCGCCCGTGGACACTCGCAACGGAGTAGTTACGAGTCCGTTGCCGACCTTTTAGGGATTAGGGTTTTGGAGATTTAGAGTTTGGGAGGGATCGGGGGAGGGGAAGGATAGAGAGAACACAATATTTTTTTGTAGGATGAGGGAAAAACGAACAAACAAGACATATGGTGGATAGTCATTACTCCAGTAAAGTCCAAGTGCACAAATCAAGCGATATTTTACAGAACACTTTTTTTAAGATCGCATTAAAGACATTCAGTTTGACAATAAAAAATAGAATTTTATTAGATATGGCTGATGGAACAATGATTGGACGCCAATGGACGCACCCTGGACTGCGTACAATAAACCTTGTAGATTACGCTGCCATTACCAATGTTTGTTCTATTTACAAGGTGAATTTGTGATATGAAGACGGATATTACCGTAGCAAAATGAGTAATAGGACAAAACTAAATCATATTTGTTCTTAAAGACATAATTATTACGTATGTACTTATTATTAGGTGTGCCTTGCCCTGTTCCTATACCCTTTAAATTAATTCGATACTTAAAATTTTTCCTTCTTCAAAAAAAATGAAGTCTTTCTCTGAGACGAAATATGATCAAATCAAATTAATCAAATCAAATTCTTTATTTCAAGTAGACCCCAATAGGCACTTTTGTACGTCAAGCAAAAAGTATATAAAAAGGTTTAACTTTATATGTGTCAGTCTGTCCGTCTGTCCTCTAGTGAAGCTATTTGCTCGTTCCAAAGTGTAGATTCCTATGGAGAAGAACGAGCAAGAAACTCTATAAGTATATGTTTAAGAGAATTGAGATAATTTTATGTATAGGTACTTTATTTTTTTTCTCTCATTATTAACAGACTTTTAAGTAAACCAATGGCAGCACACATTTTTTTTTGTGACGGGAAAATCATCATTATTAAATGGCATATCTCGCCTAGGGTGAGGAGAGAGGGATAGGATCAGGTTTATTAGAGAGCGCTACAACCGTTTCTCTATAAAAATGTACATTCCTTATTCTGACATAATAGAAAATATATATTTATTTTAGGGTATTTGTACTAAGTTTGATATTCGCTGTACTGAATTCTAAAGATAAACTTTGCTTTTACGAATTTATTGAGGAAAATTTTCTCATTCTGCTCAGAGTTTCCTACTTTTTATCTGATAGCTACTTGATATGCGTTATTAGTACGATTTGCGATGTTAAATAGGCGTGTAGGTACAGATAAACGTTAATCTAAAAAAAATCGTCAAGTCATTAACGGGTTTTTGAAGTTGTACCTAGTATTGGCAGAGTAAAATTAACCACCATACTTGCTGACCACACAGGTTTCATAACATCTGAATACGGATAGGAATTCTAAACGATCCCTATTCAAAATATCTGAATAATTCTAAACATTACATATAATATTGATATTTATAATTATTATAATATTGTTGAAAAAATTAAAGCACGGACAATTTTATTCTTGATGTAATCTGTGTGTTTTTGCGATGTTTGCGATACATATAACAAAGCGAAAATAAAAATATTAACAATTAAAAAAAATGTTTTCCAGTCTAACGTGTTGTCCTTTCACAAAAAAACAATAATCTATACTCATGTTATGAGGAGGTAAAATTTGTAAGCGTGTAAGTTTGTATGTAGGGGGTAATCTTTGGAAATGCTGACTTGCTGGAAATGCTACTTTCACTGATTGATAGCTACAATGTTCCTGAGTGCTATGTGCTATAAAACATCACGCTGCGATCAAATGGAGCCGAGCAGTGCGTGAAACAGCGCAAGAGTAGCTAGTTAAAAATAAGATCTTAATTTAGGAGTGAAAGATGATACGATATGTGACGTGAAAATGTATGTTAAAGCACTCTTACTCGTCAGCTAATAGAGGAGGTTATGGCCAAATATACTTATGACGACAATGAGGTCGATAGACAAGAGTTACCTACTATTAATAAATGTATTAACAGTATCTTTGTCGCTAATATAATTTACCACAATCAATCTCTTTACCATTCATGGCTTTTCATTAATTAAATGAGGTAACAGGCGCAAATTATCTCCCTCTTAATCATTTCCTTAGTTATTGATAAGGACAAAAGTATGGTGGCGTGTTTCAATGTCTACCCACTTGTATTGTAGACAGCAGCTCAACCTACTCCAACCTGTATTTCTTTAACAGAATTTAGTCTTTATCACAATAGAAATACAATTGATTTTTTATTTGGTTTATAATATAACGAGGTGCCAGGAGATCTAAATTAGGTAGTGACATGTAAAGGATTACAGCGTGGGGTTAACATGTTCTGCTGCCAAATCATGTGTCTTGTAATTAATCGGTTTATCCGCAAGATAATCTCGAAGTCTGATTGACCTGTTAACTTTATGTTGGTGAGATGCTATATCGAATTTCAAGAACCTAATGAAATTTTCGGAGAGACCTTTGTCTGTCCCTTGCCGTGGATGGTCACTAGCCATTAATGATGAAAGATTACTTAGAGTTTGTACTAAAATTAAGGCAAGCAAGGCCCCTCCCCCACCCCCTCTAATGACATTGATTAGATTCTTAGACTCTGCCTTGACATTTGCCATGGTTTAGCCAGCGAGTTGCCGATAGTAGTTTAAAGGATTCAAATCTATCAGAGAGCACCTAGTCTCTGTCAAAACTACATTCTAACACTCAAGCCACTCAAGCTAACACGCAAGCCGTCTAAGAAAGTGATGCAGGAAGAAGTAATAGTAAATTAATATGTGAGTGTAAGAGAGCCATGCTTCGGCACGAATGGGTCGGCTTGACTGGAGTGATACCACGGCCTCACAGAAAACCGGCGTGAAACAACCACAGCATTGTGTTTCGCCGCGTGAGTGAGGTTACCGGAGGCCCAATCCTTCCCCTCCCCAATCCCTCCTCAATCCCTAAGTCCCTAATCCCTAAAAGGTCGGCAACGCACTCGTAACTCCTTTGGTGTTGCGGGTGTCCATGGGCGGCGCCGATTGCTTACCATCAGGTTATCCGTCTGCTCGTTTGCCGACTTATTTCATAAAAAATGTAGTCTACTCTATCGTAATATCGAAACACACAAATCATTATAAATTAATTTTTATATCAAATCCTATTTACTTAAGTTCTATATCTAATTAAATATTGTTTTCATACATAAGCGCCGGAGAGTAAGCGCCGCCTTTTTGGTAATCACTTAATCCAAATAAAAAGTGAATTCGTGAAGTGTAGGCTGATCCAATCAAATTAAATACTTAGTGTATGACAAATCACACCCACGATTTAAATGGATTTCAAGTTCTAACCTGTTTCGTTATAGTGTTTGGTTGCTAAATGCATAGACCGAAATTAGAAATTAAAACAAATTAAGGATCAGTGTTCAAGTATTTGAACCTCTCTTGCATCAAGTTAATAATAAAAATGAACCTTAATATGAACTATGTAGGATTTGTTTATATTTATTATATAGGTTCATCTCAAACAAGAGCTACTTATTGGTTCCTAACGGTTTTAACAATTCAAAAGTACGATTAAATAAAGTGGAATGTTCCCAAATCCCTATTTCTTAAATACCCCACCAATCCTAAAACCGCCACAAACCTCGACTTGTCTCTTACTCTGGTGGAACACCAGACAAGAACGCCTTTGGTCGCTCCCGTTTGCTTACCATCAGCAGGCTCATAATTAAAACTAAATAGTTAAAGCCCAATAACTGGAACATACAAAAATATTTAAATCGTATTATAGATAAAATGCGCGGGGTTCCTGGTTTTGTAATATTATTTAGTAAGAATTTTCCTCCTAGTTACTTTATCACAATATTGTATTTTACCTGTTTGTATTCAAGGTTTAAGATTAAATAAAATAGAGTTACTTACCTACTTTCGATTATTAGATATTTGGATTTTAGTTATTTGAAATCCCATAACTATGCCTAAATACAAAAATAAAACATTCTATAAACACAGCATTGAAACAATGAACATTTTTGTTGATAGGCCCTAAAATATTACTTTTTCATGACAATATTATTTTAAAAGAAATTGTCAAGATGAAGTCGGTATTTCGTATCTGACTATTCTGAGAAAAATGCAAAAACACACCCAGAGGTCAGTTGCTTTTAAAGTCCAGAAAAATATAAAAAAAAAATTCGAAGAAAATTATTTAAATAATATTTTTAATTCCCGGTCATCTATCCCCAGCAATCAAAACGTTACGTAGGAAAAACAAAAACTATAGAATTATATATGTTTTGGTCGAACGGACGTCAGTAAATATTTTCTTTTATATATTATGTACACAATGGGTTAGTACATTTTCCTGTTGTCCTTATCTATAAACTATAAATACGATTATCTTCTTCATAAACATGTTCTAGGATAAATTAACAATAACACCTATGAAGTACCTAGGCACATAACAACTATCAAAAAAGAATTCCTGGGAATTTATTTAAATTGTAATCCTCGTATAATCTCTAGATACAAAAGTAGGTATACACGATAAATTCTGTTAATAGTACATTTGTAATTATTATGTTGTTTTGTCATACATTATTGTTATCTGAATTCATCATATCTGATACGGCAGCTACGTAATGTGTGAACTTGGCATTAAATTTCATTCAAGGACGTTCGTTGTTTTGGTTTCTTTATCTCGTCAATTTTGTTCTAATATTATGTAGTCGCACGATACGGCGTGGCTGTAGATTAGACGCAATCGCTATTATACTGATTTCTGTTTACAAACAGACCGACAAGCTTATTTTTAGTAGTAGTAGTAGTAGTAGTAGTTGCTTTGTTGGGCAATTTTGATAAGTTTTTCATTAGTTCAGGGATCATGCAAATACTGAAATACATCACATTACATTATGTACATCACATTTATAAACTACAAGCTAGTTATTTTACTTTACTATATAATTTGTTTATAAAATGAGTAAGGAGTAAGTTTCAGAAGTTTGGAATGGTTTTTATTGGTTTCTTAATATAGTTTCCCTGTCACAAGATTTTCCTGTCCTTTCACTCGTAATGTTTATCTTTGTCTGTCGTTGGTCGTGTCCAATCAATATCCTATATCTAACTGTTCTGTCATCAATCTTTGGATTGCCAATCTTCTATAGTTCTTTTCTGCGTTTTCAACTTTTCTATGTTCTCAAATAATCTTGTATCCACAGTTACAGTAGTATCATTAAACAAAAATACATTATCATCACTTTATTATCGATTCACAGAAGTACCTGCAAGATAAGGTGCGTGATCGATGTTTTTCTCGAAATGTTTGCTTTCTAGCTAGCACGGACGAACGTTTCCAAAATGTTTCATTGATAAAATTTCGCATTGCATTATACATAATTTTTTATACAACAGAAATATATTTTGTATTTTTCCTGTTGCGTGTCGGTTGACGTATTTATCAGTAGTATGGAGATCGAAGCGTAATCGCAATCTGTACAAAAGATTATTTGCTTATATTGGTGATTACCCGAGCAAGAATGATGGCGCTTGAGCAGTAAAGTAATAAGTCACAGTTAGAAAGGTTATTCAGAATAAGGTAATAGGTTAGCTGACTTCTTTAAAAATGGTAATAAAGTACACGTAGGCAAGGAGCCACATAAAAAAACCCTTAAAGATGTAAATAATATTAAAATGTTGGTAACAAAATCGACTAAACTGGCAGAAAATACCTTTTCTCCTACTTGAGGCAAATTAGCAGTTTTAAACTTATAATGTGAGAAACTTAAAAGATCAGGTTTTCTCACGATATTTTCCTTAACAGTAAGTCAGTAGTGTCTTAATAAACTAAATTAGGTACTTTTAAATCAAAAATATTCATATTGGTATTTATCAGATTTGGACCCTCGTGTATACGAAAGCGCTTTCATCAACCTCCTTGCTACTCGTACGACAATTATTTTCCTATTGAAGTACTATTGTCTTACGGCCATTGAAGTAGCATTTAACCAACATGCATGACATCACCGGACTCCCGTTCCTCGATGAGATCACGGAGGCTTCTCTATGGAGTTACCATACCCTGACAGGGGGGTCACGCGCCATTCCGTGTTATGGCCGTGTTGCCATCTTGAGCCTTTATGGAATCACACTCATCCCATTGTTGTTCTGATAGGTACTCTGCTCTTTATGTCTGGTTACCGTTTGTTTGTTTCGGTGATCAAGTGCAGTTGTAACGAGGTTGTCATTTTGATCCCCGAGTCGGATGACTCATATTGTCAATTTATTTATAACTCAGAAAATTTGTTTCGTAATAAGTTATACTACTACCATCATCTAATGAAAAATGTCCCCGATAATTTTATGTGACTCAAATGGGTTTCTTTTTTAACACGCCTCTTTCACCCCATGTGAAGAATACAATGAAAATTATCTGTATCTGTCTCATTATTATCGCATACTGAGAAACCTATTTACTAAACTAGCGACCCATCCCGACATCGCACGGGTGTTATGCTGATAGTAAATTTCTTTTTTTATTTAATGGATTATATTATTCATATAAACGAATCTCTTCAATCGCTCTATGTATTAAAAAAACGCATTAAAATCGGTTGCGAAGATTCAAAGACTAAAGCATACATAGGGATATAGGGACAAAGGAAGCGACCATGGTTTGTAGAGATTATGTGCTGATTTATTTACTACTAGCTGTTCTCGATCGTAGCGTGATGTTTTATGACCTATAGCACACAGAAACATTGTAGCTATCTATCAGTGAAAGAATTTTGGCAATTCGACTAGTGGTTCCAAAGATTAGCCCCAACATACAAACATACAAATTTTACCTCTTTATAATATAAAGTATAGAAGTATAGATTTATCCATCGTAAATAAATGTATGTATGTGTATACTATACTATCTTTTAAACTAAAACCGTACTATAATATGTAATTGGAAACGTTAGGTACCAACATTTTACAAATGTGCACTACACAGGCTCTCTCACGTGCGATTACATCACTGTCGAGCACTGCACCTACCGGCCAGCAATAGTGGTCTCATGCTGAGCACGATCCACTCACTCGAAGGACAGCTCCACCTCTTCATTACTTAGCTAATTATCTACGTGCAAACATTTACGGAATTGTCCCTAATGCACTTTAGTTTTTTCCTTTATTAACTGGCTATTTCTTTACGTCTGTGTGTAACTAAAAATCGCCCGTTCCAAGTCCTATATGACACCAGCAGGATATTGATTAGTCCTCAGACTAACTAACCTGGCTTAGGCTTTATTATTTTCGGGTACATTATATATTATAACCTTCATAATTATCTCAGCATTTACATATAACCCTTCCTGAATGACTTCCAAATCAGCCTTTAGGACGAAGTGCTTGCTTCAATTGGAGTTTTTTTTTTCATATTTTTATTTTAAGTATCTTGCATGTTATTTTCATGTCCTTCACTAATCACAACTCTTGCGTGGTCTAGTAGGTGTTTCTTATTTGCGTTAGTTCAATAAGACAATTCATTCCAAGTTTGTTTTGGTCTCACGTACCTACAGCAATTAAATCCAGCCGTAGGTGTCCAGACAAATTGCATAATCCCTCAATCCAGATTCCTGTAAGCTGACAAAATGCGAGAATGATGAGATAATAGCATACTGCAGCTGATTGAGATGGCCTTGAAGGTTGATGTCATCGGTTTTGTTACATGCCGGTTTATGTCCCAAACTTATACCGTACACAGTTATTTTTGTATATTTGTCTCATGTCTTGTCATCTTCTTCAAGATTTAGATCGAATTATTTATTTATTGTTCCTTATATGAACTTTATTGGTGATATTGGCTGTAAAACTCTAGTTGTTTGGGTTCTATTTTTAAGGTTTTGTGTGTTTTAGGTAGATAGTGTCTCTTGTAATGCAAGGTGTTGTTTATACGTAGATTGAGCGCCATGGGGAATAAAATATCGGAAGTCACGCTAGCGATTTGCCCCAAAAGTTATCTGTCGTCAGTTAATGACTTTACAGATATTTCCAATACACTATTGATAGACGGTTGTTCTAATTTATTATGCTACCTACAAACATCATTCTTTACCTTCATTTCAATTTTTGAAGGGTTTGAAGTTTTCGTAATTTCGACCCCAACAAAAATTTTATAAGTATTTCATTGCAAATATGCAAAAACCACATTATCGTCGATTGTTTTCGATAAAGATAACCTATTTGATATTCAAGTAAAAAACCTCACTTTTCATGTATCTGTGGTTTTAGTGTTACCTAACCTAAACTATCAATACTTAAAAAAATACCCTCAACCCCTCTAGAGCTGGCTCCAGTCTGACCTTGACCTTTGAAGGTAAATAGGGAAACCGATGTTGGGGCAAGGAACCTAGTGGTACCGGTGCTCTAGTCACGCGAATGTGCTAAACAGAAATACAGAATTCGTGTAGGTAACTGGACTACTGTTCTAGATTATTCCATCCTTATCTGATGTCAGTAGTAAAAAATGCTTTGGCAAACTTTTATAGGATTTTGTTTACATCCTTGAGTTTTTTTTTTATTGCAGTGCTAGCTAACTTGTGTGTGAATGTGTAATATGCCTAAGATTTATATCAGGCGCATTACCAAGCCGTATGTAGTATATTTAAACGAAAATCATATTACATATCCGTCTGATACGTCGACGCCTATTCCATAAAAACCAACATAAAAATTAACAATAATTTTCACTTGTTGCTTTGTGCCTTAATTTTGTGTCAATTTAATATTTGTTTTAATTTAAAAAAAAGTACCTTGCCCCGCTCTCGGTGCGTTTACAAACACTTAATTTCACATATACAAGACAGCCAGACCCTTAACAACAATTTGAGGATCACACAAACTGTTCAGTTGTTCCGTGCGGCACATTGCACGGCAGCCAGTTGCCCAGTCACCGAACCAACCTTGCTGATCTTTGTTTCTGATGTAAGTAGAGTATTTTTAATTCCAAATCTCTAGAGCTATTAGCAATAAAAAGCCTTATTCCTAAATTCCAAACGTATGTTCACCTTTTATAAGTTGTGACAACAAGCACTTAAAAACTTAGTGATCGTGATAAATATCCATTTTATACCATGAAGGTAGTATCGAATGTCGCATGGTTCTCTATGTTTTTATGTGTGGCGTCTAGACGGTGGTGGCGCCCCCTAGGGTGTCTCTCAGCCGTACATCATGTCATATGCCCTTCTCCTGTCCTGGTCTGGACATGTTAGGGTAAGTTCATAAAGGGGATGTTTTTGACAAATTGTCTTATAAATGTCAATGTGTTTAACCGTCTGTGTTTTACATTGGTTTAGATTTCAGATTTATTTCATGTTATGTTAGTTTTGTTTCATCCCGGTCTGTTATAATATAATAATTTACACAAAAACGCCTGTTTTGATATCGTTTCCAAACATTATTATGCATCCTTTACTACTTTATATTTTTGATGTATGGATTGAGTAGTTTTAACTACTATAAAATAATAATTTGAAAATTTTCTCAAAACATACCTAAATATTATTTTATATTATCAAAAACTGTGCCTGGCGTGTTCGTATCTTTATAATTAACTTTGCAATGCCCTCTGCTAATGAAGTTTTTATAATGGCATTAATAAGTGCAAAGTTCTGTTGGACACGAACTAATTTGATTAATGTTTTAGAGGGTAGTTCTATAACTTAGTAAAATGTTATAGAACAAGTGCTCACAAAAACAAAATCACAGTGCCAGTCTATACCAAGCCATGTAACCAAGATAAAAAAAAACTTGAAAATCAAACCAATATCATATCCTTTTTTTCTTTATTTTTTCCCAACTTATGTGAAGCAACTTGTGAGAGATCCTCGCTTCGGCATGAATCAGCACAAATCGGTACGAAAACAACTTAACTTTTTTTGTGAGGGTAAAATCATCAAATGATTTCTCCCGCCCAGGGCAGGGCGGGAGGGAGTATCAGACTCTTACTGACTAAAAACCCCCCCTGTTCCTTCTCCTGCTCTGGGCCGAGGTCGTGGTGCCTCGTTGCGCTTACCCCCGCAACCCCGGCTGAACATCAGCCCTTTAGGGCCCCGTCTGTGGTGGTCCATTGGCCCTTAGAGGCGCGCGCGGAACGCTACGCGCCGTACGCTCGGGCCTGGTTCTGGTCGGTCGGCGAGCTACCCTTACTCGCCGACCGCAGACCCGCGCTTACGGTGGCCGGAGATCGTCCCTTGATCCCCGACAAAACAACTTGACTGGAGTGATATCTCGGCCTCCTACAATACAGGCATCAAACAACGCCTATATTTTGCTCGAATCGCAAAAACCTATAAAAGGCCGGCAATTATGCACAAGTGGATGTCCATGGATGGCGGCAATTGCTTAACATCAGGGGATCCGTCTCCTCGTTTACCGACTGAAACATAGTATAGTAGTAGCACACGTTGTCTTAATTATTTTTAACACCAGACTCAAGTCATTTGATCTCCTACCATAATAAGATGTATTAACACCATGATTTTATCATCGCACGTGGTACAGGCACGAGATTCTACCAAGATATTGTGATGAGGTTTTAAGGACCTTCCATCAAATAGTATTTATCCTTATATTACTCCAGTCATTATTCCATTGGCTTGATGATCATGTCCTTAACGAAGTAACGTTTTCAATTAGTGTTAAAGACAAGGACTTCTAGCTAGAGGTTGTTTATGTAACTTTAATTCATCATACCCCAAACAAACGCTCGCGTTCGCGCACCTATTGTTAATCGCATGTTTCTGTTTCTGTATTCCTATCAGACTAAACACTTCTTTCAAATGAAACCAGACTAGTTATTTTAGACTGGTACTTTTCTAGTGATCTAAGGCAGGTTTCACTTCATTGACGATAATAATAAAAAGAATCAGTCGTGTATTATTCCGATTTGACATTAATTCATCAAATTTCAAGCGGGCGACAGCGTTCGCCACGTATCATATGTTAAACCTAAGAAGTTTACTATAATAAAGTTCGAGATAAGGCGAACCTACTTTGTACGGAACCGTACATTATTTTAACTACTCACGCCCGTGCGTTCTGCACACTCAGGTTTTGTGTATATTGCAAACAATGCAAAATGTAATTTGTGTCTTTTATAACGAATTATAAATCAATGTTAATCTAGCATTCAAATCGGGTGGTATTATTTCTATATCCTTATAGGATTAACCCCTCATCATATCGTATCATCAAAGGTGTAGGAATCTTCTACATTTTTTTTGGTCCTTCGAGCCGGATCGTGGCGGGACCTTCGCGGTTACTTTGACCTCGCGCGCGCATTCGTGTCTCGTGTACGTCAACGTGACGTGGACTTAAGTTCCGTGCGATCACCAGTGTAATCTACACACATCATCGACTTGAGCATCGCTAGCTTAAGCCATCTCGGTCGTGTTCATTGAATCGCGATACTTCATCATCTTCATCTCATCTGTGGCGCGAGAGGTCGCGCACGCTGTCAGCTTCGTTGGAATCACCAGCAGGGGCGTAGGACGTCACTACTGTAACGTCGCATCTGGATCATCATTTATCAAGTAAGACTGTTCCTTTATTTTTCAACATGGAATCTCGTATAGCCCGTCAATCTGAAATCATCTCCAGTATCACTACCATAAGGGTCAACTTTAATAAGGACTCTGATTCCCGCAAAAATGCCGAATACATCAAAAAACGGTTAGGCGCGCTAGACGCTCTCTGGGAAGAGTTCGAACAAAATCATTCTAGAATTTCCGATCATGCCAGTGAGGCAGATGAATATTTCCGTCTAAATACCTATCAGGTAGGCAAAGACCTTTATCAGTCTGTCCGCATCCTCTTATCATCTTACGGAAAATCATCAAAATCAACTCAACCAGATGGGGAGGTTGATGAATTGTTAGCAATGCAGCGGACTAATTTCAGGGCACTTAGTCGACTTATTAAGAGCATCAAGGTTGAAAATATATCGGATAAATGGGAACTCGAAGACGAGCTAAACGGCGTTCAGTCTATTTGGAAAATTATCGACGCTCAGCATTTGAAAATCGATCATATACTTGCGGGTGGAGATATATCGTATGACGAGGAATTCACTCGTCATGAGTTAGCTTACAAAAATATCAAACGTGAGCTAAATAGGAAAATCTCCTCTACGACTCATTTAGAAAAGGTCACTCCGAAACTTGAGATACCTACGTTCAGCGGAAATTATAGTCAATGGCCAACCTTTTATGATTTGTTTAGCGAGACAATTCATAACAATAATTCCATCACCAAGGCCCAAAAGATGCAACATCTTAAGGGTAAGCTCAAGGGCGAAGCTGAACGACTCATCTATCATTTAAATGTCTCATCGGAAAACTACGATACCGCATGGGAGATTTTAGTCCATCGATACAACAACGAGCAAGCTCTTTTCACTCATCAAATCGAAATATTTCTCAATCAGCCCAACATTCAAAAACAATCATCATCCGAAATCAAAAGGTTATATGACACTACTACGGAGTGCATTCATGCTATTCACAATCTTGGCGTCAATACTAATGCGTGGGATCCTTTATTGGTGCACCTTCTATGTAAAAAACTGGATACGGATACCCAGACTGATTACAGAGAAGCACGCGTCGAACCGCGAAAATTACCTAAGTTAGACGAGTTAATGACATTCCTTGAAGGTAAATTTACTGCGTTGGAACAGATAACCAAATATGATAAGGAACCCGCTACATCTATCAAACGAACCCCAAATCCAAAAGTGCAAAATAATTATTACAAATATAATAATTATAAAGGCTTTAATCATCGAAATTATCAAGCTCAAGCTATTCATATCTCGAAATGCGCAGTTTGCAACCTAAATCATAATCGCAATTTGTTTTCATGCAAAAAATTTATTAACATGACTCCGGATTTACAAATGAGAATAGTTACACAATCAAATATTTGTAAAAATTGCCTATTCTCTCACGACGGAAATGAATGTACTTCCACCAAACGTTGCAAGTCTTGCCAAGGCAATCATCATACCATACTCCATGAAGCGTGTATGCAATCATCAAAACATCAATCCTCATCATCATCGTCTACATCGGGTCCGTCCGCAAAAACACCCAACAAACAGCCTAATGCCAATCATGTCGCAGTAGACGATGAAGAATTACTATTAACCACGTTATCGATCAATGTAAGGTGTTCTGACGGTACCTATATAACCCTAAGGGCTCTCCTGGACCAGGGGTCTCAAATATCACTTATATCGGAGAACGCTGTGCAACGACTAGGCTTACAGAGGCGACGTTACAATGCGTCCGTGTCCGGTATAGGTTCAGGTGCTAGTCAAAGTAAGGGTTTAGTATCTATCGACTGTCAATCTATCTACGGCGATTATAATTTCACTACAGAAGCACTCGTACTCACTCGGGTTGCCAGTAACTTGCCTAGCGTTCAGTTCAAAAAACAATCATGGCCTCATCTCCAGCATCTGCAATTAGCTGATCCAGAGTACAATGTTTCCAAGCCTATCGATCTTCTCTTGGATGTCAGCATTTATTCACAGATCATCATGGACGGTCTTATCAAAGGTCCATCTCAAGCTCCAATTGCGCAGCAGACTGCCCTCGGATGGATTTTATCGGGAAACGTTCGTACTTTTAATTGTCATATCGTGACAAACAATATATCGGATCTTTCAAAATACTGGGAGATTGAAGACGTTGAACCATCATCATCATCATCATTGACTAGTGAAGAGCAGTATTGTGAAGAGTTTTATCAACAAACTACTCGTCGCTTAGATACTGGCAGATACGAAGTTGGCATTCCCATGAAACCCGAATACGAAAATCAACTTGGATCGTCTAAATCAAAAGCGATTGCACAATTCAAACAGTTGGAAAGAAAAATGTGCAATAATTTATTATTCTCGGAAAGTTATAAATCATTTATGTCCGAATATCAACAACTGGGTCACATGTGTAAGGCCGATAATGTCGACGAATCAAAACCAGCCTTCTATTTACCTCATCATGGCGTCATCAAATTAGATTCCACAACGACTAAACTTCGAGTCGTTTTCAATGCTTCTTCAAAATCATCTTCCGGTAAAAGTCTGAATGACCTCATGTGCTGTGGACCAAATCTCCAAAAAGATCTCATGACACTTATTTTGAACTGGCGCACTTACAAGTACGTTATGACAGCTGATATCGAGAAAATGTTTCGACAGCTCTTCA